ATATTCAATTAATATATTTGATATATTATTTTTATATATTTTACTATTATTAATAACAAATGTGGGTCAGAAATGAAAAAGTAACCCAACTAAAATTTTAATTTATTAAACAGAAATTAATAATTGATATTGCTTTAATTAAAAGATTCAGACAATTTCAGACTATTACTACTTGGTGGAAAAGCAAGAGAAATAAGATGAAAGAAATACTAGTGAAAAATGAATAATAATTGCCAAGGCTTCATCTAAGAAATCCAGACAAATTAAGATTATTACTACTTGGTGGAAAAGCAAGAGAAATAAGATGAAAGAAATACTAGTCAAAAATGAATAATGATTGCCAAGGCTTCATCTAAGAAATTCAGACAACTTAAGACTATTACTACTTGGTGGAAAAGCAAGAGAAATAAGATGAAAGAAATACTAGTGAAAAATGAATAATAATTGCCAAGGCTTCATCTAAGAAATTCAGACAACTTAAGACTATTACTACTTGGTGGAAAAGCAAGAAAAATAAGATGAAAGAAATACTAGTGAAAAATGAATAATAATTGCCAAGGCTTCATCTAAGAAATTCAGACAACTTAAGACTATTACTACTTGGTGGAAAAGCAAGAAAAATAAGATGAAAGAAATACTAGTCAAAAATAAGATGAAAGAAACACCAATCAAAAATTAAAAATTGATCTTTAAGGAAAAATAGTTAAATGTATTTATTGTTTGCATTTTTTGTTTGTGTTTGTTAATTTTTTTTTAATAATTGTTGTATTTTTTGTTAGTTGTTTGTGAATGTTAATTGACAATAATAACCTGAAATTTTTGGACAAAATTCTTTTTTTTTTCCCAAAGTGAAAACATTGTGTAAATGTTTATCTTCTGAAATGTTTTGCTTTGTTGTATTTATTGAAAAAGTAAATATTTATATCAAAACAGTCCCACTTTTTTCTATGATTCAAAGCACTTTTATTTATCAACATTAGAGACACACCATCTTCCTAATGACATACTAGAATTGTCCATCTGCATTTCAAGAAAACATTTAAGCTTTCTTTAGACAAATTTAATTCATAACAAATTTGGCAGTATAAACTTTTAACTTAATGTATTTATAGTCCGCCTACATAAGCCAATGTGTATCCAGAATATATTGTGCATGTAACACTTTTCAAAGAGTGCACAGATGCTAAACCTTGATCTGACCTTAGTACAGATCCCTATATAAAAAAATTTGTCATTTTTTTATGAATACTATGCTAGTGTATACAACAATACACAGGTTTTGCAAGTAATTTAATGCTTAGCCTCACAAACAAAGGATTAAATTTCAAGTTTGCTTTCTAGAAAAGAAAATTTTATTTACAGTTAGAAATTTAAATAAAAATTTTAATTTAAATTATTTGGCCATATAAAAATCTTGTTTTAATGAAAGAATTTTGTTGAACACAGGCAAAACCCATACAAAAACATTTCAGGAAAGAAAGAAACATTGGATATAAATTTGAGAAACGAAACTTTAACAGCAAACCCAGTTGATAATTCAATAAATATTTTGTCACTGTGAAGAATTTGTTTCATTTCACTTTTTCTCTGGATATTTGAATTCTTCATGGTGTCCTTAGCACAATGTTTCTACTCCTAGTTTAATCAAGAGTAGATTCTTTAAGGCACCAAAATGTCCATTTTCCTTCAGAAAACGGCAACAGAAAAATGGCCAGTAATATTCTAACGTTCAATCCTTTCTCAGTATATCATCAGTTCTCAACTTGGTATCTATGTTGATGACACAACTATTTACTCCTGTCTTAATAGTAAGTCTTATCAGTTCAATAAGGTCGAAATTGGTAGCTGAGCTAAAAAAAATATATGATCTAATCTCTGTTGTTAACCAAGGCAAGAAATAACTTGTTAATTTTAACATCTCCAAAATGAAACTGCCTGTTTTAATTGTCATAGAGAACTCTTTTTGTCTTCCATCTGAACGGCTGATGCTAACCTCCAGGAATATAACTCATTGTGCTTTCTTGAACTAACATTTTCCACTTCCATAAAGTGGAAATATTGTATTAGATCAATTGCTCAGTCTGCTTCTAAGAAAATTAGTTCACTCTGTTATACTAGACATTTTCTCTCTAGAATCTATCTTACACATTTATAAATCTGCCATTCATCCTTGCTTTGAATAATGCTACTGTAGTAATAACAGAACCAGTGGATAAACTTATACCAAAGCTTTATTGCACTTTATTCTGACTACTCGTCTACTGACAGATATTACAGAGTGCTTTTTATATCTCCTAAATCTTAAGGGGAGGTAACTGATGATTTATCAGTATAGCTGCCTCACCTGGTCTGGTGCTTCTGCTATATATTCAAAACAAGGATAAATGGTAGACTTATAAATATGGAAGATAGATTCTTCTTTGGTTTTTATTAAGAATCTCTAAATATATAGCAAAAGCACCAGACCAGATGTCGCAGCAATATTCAAAGCAAGGATGAATGGTAGACTTATAAATATGTAAGATAGATTCTTCTTTGGATTTTATCAAGAATCTCTAAATATATAGCAGAAGCACCAGACCAGATGTGGCAGCAATATTCAAAACAAGGATGAATGGTAGACTTATAAATATGGAAGATAGATTCTTCTTTGGATTTTATCAAGAATCTCTAAATATATAGCAGAAGCACTAGACCAGATGTGGCAGCAATATTCAAAGCAAGGATGAATGGTAGACTTATAAATTTGTAAGATAGATTCTTCTTTGGATTTTATCAAGAATCTCTAAATATATAGCAGAAGCACCAGACCAGGTGTGGCAGCAATATTCAAAGGATGCAAGGATGAATGGTAGACTTATAAATATGTAAGATAGATTCTTCTTTGAATGGTAGATTTTATCAAGAATCTCTAAATATATAGCAGAAGCACCAGATCAGATGTGGCAGCAATATTCAAAGCAAGGATGAATGGTAGACTTATAAATATGGAAGATAGATTCTGTCAAGAAAAAATATCTGACCCGGTACAGGGAACCAACTTTCCTAGCAGCAGATATAGCAATGGATTTAATATTCTTTCCACTTCATGTCAATGGAAAATGTTAGCCTTTAAGTAAATACCAAATTACTATAGAGATGGGGCCTTTTAACCACAGAATTCATAGGAGAATTTTGCATTTATTTATTGTAAATTAATTCCCTTATGCAAGCCAAAAAGTAAATAAGTAAAGGAAATAATTAATAATAAAAGGGAGAGGTAAGTAAAAATATAAATTAAATTCATATTTCTTCGGTATTTTGAAATTTTCTATATAAGCCTTATTTTAACTCAATACAAGAAAATGGTAAAAATATGCCTCAAATAATATAAATGTTAACATTTTTTATTTTAGCTTGAAATTATATAAGAACATGTCATATCATGTGATATGAATTTGACAAGAACATACCATATCATGAGCATATCTTGTTTTGCTTGCATGGGGGTTGCAATTTACAATGAATTTACATAACAAACTGAACCTCCTCTGGGATTTAATGTTATGTTTTGGATGTACAGTGATACCTCAACTTAAATCATTTCGAGTTAAATCATTTTCAAAGATACATCAGTTTTTCTTAAATATTATATGTAAAAATAAAACTCGCCTTAGGTCGTTTTACTGAAGTTTATGTCAACTGTTAAAAATATTAGATACATTAAAATAACAATAAACACATATAAAATTATATTCCAATAAATTTTAAAATAATATTATATATAAAGTCATAGAATCGTCAAAAACAAAACAATTATTATAATAAAGTATGTTCAGCAGATGTTGACAGGTGGCACTTGTGCATTTTTTCTGCTCCAACACCGATTTTGAATTCAGCCTGGTTTACATCTGTGCTCTGCCATTGCCATTCTTTCAATTACATTTCAATTGTGATTTAGAAGACATTTTTGCCAATTGCTCTGAAGAAAAGTCCCAGTGCTAATGCTAAGCATAAAGCTATATCACTGGAAGATAAGGTGGAAATTAATTATTTTATTCAGAATACTGTACGTACATATCATAAATACTGTAATAGGCAATGGGTGTGCTTATTTGTGGTTTATAGTATGGTTATTTCGGCTTAAGTCATTTTTTTGACCTAAGTCGTGACCTCTGGAACCAGTTAACGATGTAGGGCGAGGTATTGTTGGTGTGTGCATGTTCACATATAAACAATTGATGTGGAAACAATAAAACCCTGCCTTTCTACTACAGACCATTTATTCCTTTCTTTTTATAATGGAAACAAATGTCTGTTGGGTACATTTTCTTTTTCTGGTCCAGAAGTAAGTGAGGGTAAGTAAAGATAAGAATGGTTATAATGGTCGAGCTTGAGTCAGCATTGTGCTGTGTTGGAATGACCAAAGTAAAGTTGTACTCATTTCACTGGTGGAGAACACAGCCGAACACTGTGCATTGGAAAGTGGAAGAGAATTCATTTGTCAGTCGACTGGGGAAAGGAGACATTCCCCAGCGGGGAACAACCTCATCTACATTCTCCGACATCGTGGAGAAAGAGGAATGAAATGTTTGTATTTTTATAGAACTGAATAGCACCACCTAATGGGCGTTTAGTGAAACCAAGTTGGGTAATAAAATTGTGCAGATGAGCAAAATCCTATCCGGTTCCTTTATTACTAGCATCATGTAAATTTATTTATTTATTTTTTATTTTTTTTTTTATTATTAATTTATTTATTGATTTTACTATTTTTTCACACTCCTTAAAATTTATAAAAGAATTTTTTTTTTATATTAATGATCCAAAATGATTATTTTGATAGGAATTTTAAAAAAAAAAAAATTTTTTTAAATGATTATTTCTTGGAGAGGTGTGTTTCTGTAGAAGCAACATTGAATGATTATTACAGAATGAATAAAAGTCAATAATTACCAACTTTGTTACTTTAAAGAAATATCTTACATGATTCTTTTTGTGTTTCTTTCTACTGTTTCTAGCTGCGTAAAGCCTATTTCCAACAGGTGGATGAAATCAAGAGTCTGAAAGAGCAGGTTTCTGTAAAAGATAAAAGAATTCGCCAACTAGAGGAAGAAGTCACCTCATTAAGGCAGCACCGAATCACTGGAGAAGGTAGCACTACAGGTGAGGAAAGCAACTGCTGAGGTGAACCCCCTGGGAGGAATCAGATATCTGTATTTATCTCTGCCTCCAATCACATAAGTGGACTGGCCTTTGCCCACTTCAGCTCTCTCTCCAGGCCCAACCATGTTGCTTGGGACCTAACTACTACAACTACTACTCCTCTGCTGTTTTTTGTCGACGCCATTGTTGAATGTCAGAAGTATCTGAGTTTTCTGCTTGGCAGCTGTACTTATTGATATAAAAATCTGTATCTCATTCTCTCAGGTGGCTGCACTCACTCCACCACCACCACCACTCCCTTAAACACCCTCCTCAGTCCCAGCCACACCCTGACCCCAAGGAAAAAATATGTGCTTTCAAAAAATGTCAGCAACAAATATAATAAAATTTTTAAAAAACTGTAGGAAAATTAAAGCCTTGTTTCCTCCTCCTCCTCCTCCTCCCCTCCCTGAACCTGGGTGTGTGTGAGTGTGTGTGTGGCATAAACAATAAAGGCCACTGCCTTTTTAAAAAAAACTTCTTAACTCCCTGTCTAGGGGTCTGTAAGCAACTCAGAATACTTCATCACATGAAATGAACAAAGCAAAAAAATATTTAAAAAAGAGAAAAAAAAAAAAAAAAAAGTCACAGTCGGTTCTACTTTCGAAATGTGAATGTTTTTCTTTATAAGATATTTCTTTATTTTAGTGTCTCTTCATCGCTTCAGTCTTCGATGTTCTCAGTGACTGTTAACGCTTGGAGAAAAAAAAAAAAGTAAATGGAAACTGTCCCAAAACAAAAAAAACTATCTTTTAAATGGAAAAAAATTATGATTTTAATAATGAAAATCTTACCAAATTATAAAGACACTCAAAATGGGGCCATTTTTCCTTTTTTTTTTTTAATTTTATTTTATCACAAAAATTGATTTTTTGTTATTTGAAAATCTTATTGTACAATAAATTATCAATAACAAAACAAAGAACAATCCAAAAAGAAACAAAAAAAATATGCATTGTGTGTGTGTGTGTGTATATATATATATATATATATATATATATATATATATATGTTTGAAACAGTACAGAAGCGTATTAAGGCATTAAAAGCAAGAAATTTTATATTGTAGGCCATGATAGATTTAAAACAAAAACACACACAAGTCGACCGGTTTCGTCCCCTCTCGTCAGAACTGTTAACGAGGAACTAAAATTATGAGGAAAAGAAAAAGAAAAAAGTCTGTCATGAATGAGTGGATAGGGAGAAAAAAATTATTATAAAAATTATACGAACAAAGATGCTAGAAGCGCAACACAGCAAGTCCAAGCAAACAATCTCTTTGTTTACAAAGAGCGGGTTGGCTTGACCTGATGTAAAGCATCTCCAACACCTTAAGATGGAATAATGAGTGTGCTCTGGCCAAAACGGATAACCAGTTCACACTGAAATCCATCGCACAAGTGGGATTCTTTATAAAGTGATCTGCAATCGAAGACCATACGTGTTATGAATGGTATCGCCCAAAGAAAAATTTTTATTCAGTATTATAGCAGGTACGTTTTGTTTAATTCTAACGTCTAACTGCTGTGTCGTTCTACCTATGTAGTCGCATCCACAACTACATTTGAAATGGTAAATAACAGAATTAATATGGTGGGTGGGTAGAACATTTGAAAGACAACACGAACGTTCGCTGCAAAATAACACTCACGTGAACTACATGAAATACGCTTGGCGAAGGATTCATTAATCCTACCCAACCACAGTAAACGAAGATAGACTGGACATTTACCCACTGAAGCAGGTTTGATTTTGTTGAACCTGACAGTTTTATCTCGAATAACTGATTGAACAATGTTCACCAGATAACCATTGTTCACAAAGATCTCAGTTAAACAACTGATTTCATACTTCAAGGTGTCACCCGAACAAATCATTAACACCCTATGTATCAGGGTCCTAATCAAATTTATCTTTTGTCGTTTAGGACAAAAAGAGTTGAACTGAGATGCCAACCTAGTAGCATGTTTGAATTCATGCAGTTTGGGAACTACCAAAAGTAGCTCATCAGAGCAGTTACCATGAAAGTATTTGTAGAAAAGACAGAGGGAGGCAATGGCACATCTGTGAGAGAATGACCGTAAACGAGATATGTATGTCCAGTCAAATTCATTACATTCACTTATGTACTGATACCCTTGGGAAAGGTATTAATCCTTTTCTTCTCCCCCCCCCCCAAGCTATGAGTAAATAGCAGGACAGACTGGGTTCTATAGCCTTTGATGGCAACTGGTCTAGGAGAAGGACAACTCTGAATTCAAAACCTGCAGAGGGTCGTTTGGGGACCTTGTGGCACGTAGTGCACCAGGTCTCTGTATTCGGCCCCTTCAAAAGTGTGTGAATGGTCCTGCACAAAACCTTCACCACTAGAATCAAATCATATGTGCTGTTTTCTGAACTGTCGATTCCTAGGAACTGAGTTGCTTGACACTCATATGTCTAGTATAACAGGAGAGTCCACCATATATATATATATATATA